TTTATTAGAGCATAAGCTTTCGTGGACTACAGCCCACTTCTTCGGATGCATATAGAATGGAACATATATTGAGGAGGGCTCTCTGTGCACTGAAGGAGGCTCTAATCCAGGGCCCGGTAGATCTGGTAAACCCAGACTTTGCCAAGCCCTGTGCAGTGTTCACCGACGCCTCAGACGCAGGGCTGGCCATGGTTGTTGTACTTAAAGTACTGCCCAGGATCTTTTCAGGGGGGATAAGGCAAAGCGCCACATTTACTGGTAATACATGTATCCATCCACACGGTGTCACATGGATATGAGAGATCAAATTTGATTAGAAAATATTTAAAAATAAACGATACAGAAAATTTGAAGCGTCAGTTGTTGGTCATTGGAGGTAACATACAGAGTATGGGAGGATGTTAGTATTTTCGGGTTGGGCAGCACACATAATACATACAGACTGCGATGTCCCCAATGGGGGGTAGACGGTGGGCGGGATCAAGATACAGTTGACAAGTGGTGAGGGGCAATCACTCATACAGGGAGTACAGACGTTCTGGGTAATGGGGATGGGGCAACCCTCGCGTGGTGGGATTCAGCTAGGTTGGGTGGGTTCGGGGCTTGGGATAAGGTCCATCAGGGGGTGGTTTATAGGTCCCTTCCCCCTTGCGGGTGGACGAGGTCTCCCCGGCTCACTCCCGGTATTGTCGGTGGCCGGTGATGTGCTCCGTGTAGATGTCCCGTGACCAGCGGATAGTGTCCGAGACCATCAGGCCTCTCATAAGCCGTGCGTAGTGACGGCCTACCCCACAGGTCCTTAGCACGTGTTCGTTACATGGGTCCCAGGCACCCAGGGCCCCGACAAGCACTCATGTAAAAAGCAACAGAGAGTCCTGTGGCACCTTTAAGACTAACAGATGTATTGGTGCATAAGCTTTCGTGGGTGAATACCCACTTCGGCAGACGCATGCCATTACATTCATGCACTCACACACACACTCCGTCTTGTTGTTGTTACCAATTAGTTGCTCCCCTTAACTTTGGCCAGGTGAGTTAGATGGGGGAGGGGTGGAGCCGGGCTTCTGCTGATCCGGATCGATGCTCCCATGTTGACAAGACGAGACCCGGGGTCCTCTGCAAGACACCTCACATTTATAGCAGCTTCCCTCTCATGCAAATCTATACCAGATTCAAACTGTGTCTGTGTCCATTGGTCCTTTGTGCTGCTTCTCTCTGGGGGTTGTCCCAATGCTGCAAAGAGGGTGTTTTCAAAAGAAGGTGCTTGCTTCTAACCCCCAAGGCCGTCAGTATGTCTGATCTTCTTCAGTGAGCCCACTTGACACGTTTGATTATCCTTGGGTCTGGCTCCCAGCCCCTCTCCAACTGGAGATGCTGCCTTCCCCGCCTTCCTCATGCACACCTCGCACACCTCGTTCATTCAACAGGGCAATTGATTAAGAGTGGGGGGGAAGATCTTGTTCTACTCCGAGCAAAAAGACATTTTTCTTCTATCTTATTCTATCCTTAGGGGCTATAACATTATACCAAGTCCCATGAAAACAGAGGTCACACGTGGGTAGACCCACTACAAGGTTATATGAAGAGGCACAATGTAAAGTCATATGAAAATGATCAGAGATTTATCTACACGGTGCTGATGCTGCAGGGGGGGGAGAGGGGGGGGAGGGGGAGACACCCCACTGGGTACCTGAGCAGGAAACGGCTGCCCTGGGAGCAGAACTATGCGGCCTCAGAGAAGAAATGCCCGGCCATGGTGCAGGCCCTTAGAACGCTGCACCTGTATTATTTTGGGCGGCGTCACATGCAAGGGGCTGAGGCCGAGCTGCTGGGGACAGAGACACCTGGTCAGAGGGTGGCCAAGGTCAAGATGGGGGCTCTTAACCGAGAGCTCGAATTGCAGCCCTCCAAACTGGAGCGCTGGGAAAAGACCCGATCTCAGTTTAGACCCCAGGGGTATTGGGGCGGCAAAAGGGCACGGGCCGCATAAACCTTCCCACATGCAGCCATCAAGCACAACAGACCCACAGGAGGGTGTGAAACTGGAAGGGCCTGAGGTAACTCCCACCAAGGAATGGGAGGGATGCGGGGGCATCCATGGGAACGTTGGTGGGTTCGAACTTCCCCGGGTCACTGGCTAAAGTGACCCTGCTCAGTTCAGTCTCGAAGGGGGGAGAGATGTGACGAAGTGGGACTGTTCTTAATGTTTCCTCTGAATACTGTGTGGGTGCCTCAGTTTCCCCTATGCATTTCTTAAGTCTCCAGTGTGCATAAATGGCCAACACTCTGTATCCTGGCAACAAATGGCCAGGGCCCTTCCCCCCTTGCAAGGGAATAGCTAAAGGTGAACAA